GAGAGTTAGTTGAGAATTCATCGAGGGGAATGGGACTTAAGCCTATTAATAAGAGTTACCACAACGGCAATCCAACCTAGTTGACTGAAGATCCCAAGATCTAGGTTCAAAGGGACAACCGAATTGTGTAAGACTCATAAGGATCACTGAAATGATGAATGCCATGTTAATAAGTTTTGGATTACCTCAGAACTTGTGGGTGGAAGCAATACTTTCTGCTAATTATATTCTAAACAAAGTACCTCGAAAAAAAGTGAGTCAAACACCTTAAGAAATGTGGCATAGGAGAGTACCATCCTACAAATACTTAAAAGTGTGGGGGTGCTTGGCTAAAGTGGCTATTCCTAGTCCTAAAAAGACTAAGATAGGTCCTAAAATAGTTGACTGCATATTCATTGGATATGCTAAGAATAATAGTGCATATCGATTTTTTAATTCATAAGTTAAAACATTCCAAAATGTATGTAAATACTATTATTGAATCTCGGAATACATCTTTCTTTGAACATGTATTTCCGAATAAAGTGGGACAAGAGACTAGTACCAATAAAAGATCTTATGATGCTATTCCTAGTCATGGTCAAGAACAAGATCAAGAACAAGAGCAAGAGATATCTTAAAATGAGGAAGAGGAACCTAGGCGTAGTAAACGTGCTAGAACCTCAAAATCTTTTAGTCGAGATTTTCTAACTTTTTTTTTTTAGAAAATAAGCCTTGAACTTTCAAATAAGCTATGTTCAGTCCCGAAGCTCTTTTATGGAAAGAAGTTGTAAATAGCGAAGTTGAATCCATCCTGCAAAATCACACTTGGGAATTGGTGGATCTGCCACCAGGTTGTAAACCTTTTGGGTACAAGTGAATTTTCAAGAGAAAAATGAAAACGGATCGATCAATTGACAAATACAAGGCAAGACTTGTGGTCACAGGATTTAGACAAAAAGAAGGTCTTGATTACTTTGATACATACTCACCAATTACTAGAATAACATCCATTAGAATGCTAATTGCCATTGCATCTTTGTACAATCTAGAAATTCATGATGTGAAAACCGCTTTCTTAATTGGTGAGTTAGATGAAGAAATTTACATGGAATAACCAGAAGGATTTTCTATTCTAGGAAAAGAAAAGAAAGTGTGCATATTGGTTAAATCATTATATGCTTTAAAACAAGCGCCAAAGCAATGGCATGAGAAATTTGACAAAGCAAAGATGTCAAATGGATTCAAAATTAGTGAATGTGACAAATGTATTTATATTAAAAATACAAACAACGGTTATGTTATAGTATGTCTTTATGTGGCTGATATACTCATCATAGGTAGTAATAATGACATGATTAAAACTACCAAGAAAATGTTGAATAAACATTTTGACATGAAAGATATGGGGATTGCTGATATAATACGTGGTATGAAAATTACCAAAACATCAAAAGGTTATGCTTTGTCACAATCACATTACATTGAGAAAATACTTGACAAATTTAGAAAAGATGATGATCATCTTGCTAGAACACCTGTGGATGTTAATTTTTTTCTTTTTAAGAATTTACATGAAAGTATTTCTCAATTAGGGTATTCCTAAATTATTGGAAGCTTAATGTACTTGATGAACTGCATTCGTCCAGATATAGCCTATGCAGCAAGTAAATTAAGTAGATCCAGGAGTAGAACACTAGAAAACAATTATAAGGGTTCTAAGATATCTCTGATTTACTCGTAACATTGGGCTAAATTATACTAGATATCCAATTGTACTTGAAGGATATTGTGATGCAAACTGGATATCAGACACTAGAGACTCGAAATCCACCAGTGGGTATGTTTTTACTGTTGGTGGTACGGCTGTATCTTGGAAATCTTCCAAACAGACTTGCATTGCTAGGTCTACTATGGAATCAGAATTCATAACTTTAGATAAAGCTGGGGAAGAGCCAAAATGGCTTCGCCACTTAAATGCAGATATTCCAATGTAGCCAAAATTGGTGCCTGCTATATGCATACATTCTGATAGTCAATCAGCAATTGGTAGAGCACAAAGTCATATGTATAACGGTAAGTCACGACACATTTATCGTTGACATAACACCATGAGACAACTACTCTCTAACGGAATTATTTCCATTGAATATGTGAAGTCTAAAGACAACATAGCGGATCCACTAACCAAAGGGTTAGCAAGAGAGTTAGTTGAGAATTCATTGAAGGCGATGGGACTTAAGCCTATTAAATAAGAGTTACCACAACGGCAACCCAACCTAGTTGACTGGAGATCCCAAGATCTAGGTTCAAAGGGACAACCGAGTTGTGTATGACTCATAAAGATCACTAGGGAGTCAAACTCCTATCCATTTCTATGATGAAATAGTGATGTCTGCAATGTTTTAGGTTAAGTAATACTTTTAATGATTCTTATAGCTAGGTATACCTAGTGGAGTATGGAAGGATACTCTTCATAAGAATCACCTATATGAGTGTGAACTGGGCCAGTTCTATGAGATTTGTGAAGGGCTACAATTCTCTAGAGCACTCATGAAAGAACAGGTTGTTTAGGGCCAAAATGAACATAATAGTGAGAACTAAACTGTGTCTGGTAATATACTGTGTGAGTTCTATTGTTTTGGTTTACACAAATGGCTGAATAGTTCAAGACATCATGTTCACTGATTAACTAGTAAATCCGATAGTGTCTCACAATGGAAGGTTCAAAGCCAAAAGATACCTATCATTTGCAGAATATTCCTATTTTCTATACTCTCTATAATAAGATCATGTTGTTGCATTTTCTCTCTGTCAAATTCCATTCATATGAGGGATTGTTGAAAAAACATGATTTTTTATAGGCTTATTTTGGGCTATCTTTGAGCCCAAATTTAGATGGGGTCTACATGTCTTTTGAGGTGAGTCCAAAGAGGTGACATGTTCCTTGTTGCATGGTGAGTCACACGGTGAAGATGATTTTTTCAAAACCATTTATGAGGGAATAGGAAGTTGACGTCATTTTCGGGTTCGTAGAATGAACAATTAATGAATAATATGTGGGTTTCCTTGTAAGGCTTGTCCCATATTGGAAACTTAAGAGAATTTATGTGTGTATATAAGTTTTAGGTGGCAACACTTGGGTTGGGCTCCAAGGGGCACCCCAAGTTTATAGAAGGGAGGAGTTATGGACAATGTGAACCTTGGCTTAAACCACCACATACGCGTGTGCACCGCCGTCTGTCCGACCGGCTAGCTGACCTAAGTCGTGCAGGGCGCGGGTGTGGGTTGTAGGTTAGGTCGGTTTTAAAATTAATTTTTTGGATAAAATTTATTTGAATTTTTTCAATTTCTTGCGGGAAAATTAATTTAAATTTTGCGCCAATTTTTTTTGTCCAAACAGTGCTCCTTTTCAGTCCATTTTCTAGTAGGTTCAATAGGTTCGAACTGTTTAACAGATTGAAAAACAGTTCAGTAGTTTCGGACAGGTTTAAAACTGCCCAGCAGTTATGAGCAGATATGAAACTGCTGCAATTATCTGTTCAAAATCTGGGCTGCACCTGTTCATTTCAAAAATTGATTTGTTCATTTGAAATTCTTACTTGGTCGGATAGATCTGTTTGGTCACCAATCTGCCTATAAAAGCAGACCATTTCCAGCATTTCTAACATCCAAAAATATCCAGAAAAATTCTTTTCCTCCTGGTCTTGCTCTTTGGTTGCATTATTCTTCATATTATTTTTTTAGGAAAAAATTCAGAGAGTATAGAACACAGGTTTGGTTCGCCGTACAAATTGTTTAGAGTGCTACTATAATTTGTAAAGATCATTATATCCTGGGAGATATGCGTCTTTTAACCGTAAGCATCATAGCAGAGCGAATCTGTCTTAAGGACAGAGTGTCACACACTCGACTTGATCTTATAAATATTTATTAGGTTCGGTAAAATAAATTTTGTAAGTAATTTATTTTTATTTGTTTGATTTGTTTTAAGTTATTTATTTTACACAGAAGATTGTTCCAACATAGAGAAGTGTCAAGTCGATAGAAGCATTAATTAGTGTGTGTTAAATATAATCTTAAATATAGTACTTGAAGCTTGTTCATAATAGTACGAGTATGTGTATGTGTTTGTGACTGAGCTATGAGATTAGATAAACACTTCATAACTGAACTGAAGTAACAAAATCAAATAATCAAATTTGAAGCATGAATAGGAGACAGTTTAACAAGAGTACAAATCAAAAAAATGTAATGCAAAATAAATACATAATATTATTCGGCAACCAAAAATCCAAACACATAACATGAAACATGTATATATATATATATATTGTATCAGTTTCACATCACATCCTGAAGCTGTTGCGTCATGATATTAACATTCATGGTGCAACTCATTTGGGTAGATTTCTTCTTCTTCATTATCAATATTAGCTCCACCTTTCCACTCAGTTTAGATTGGCTACTCAAAGGCAATAACCCAAAACTTATATCACTTGCCAATTTTGTATCGCTTAGTAGACTAGGTGGTGCAATCAAGTTCACTGCAACATTGAACTTCTTGGTTTTTAGGAGACTGGCTTTCGATTTGGGGACAATTGCAGTCCCAACTAGTGTTACTCCATAGTAGAATTCAACTGTGGTGTTGCGGTATTTATAGGGGCTGAAATTGGGGTTCTTGACCCCAAGTTCAGCATTCATCGTCATGTTAAATGAGGATGTTGTGACATTAAATGTCTCGAATCTGGCAGACGTCACCCAGAACTTGGATTTTTGACTTTCATTATTGTTAAACCAATCACAATTCCAATAACAATTTGAGTAACCGTGAAGATAATGAAAAATGTCAAACGCTTGCGTTTCTTGAGGCGAAGCTTTTCAACTTCTGCTGTCTGTGCTTCTTCATCGCTCCGGGCATAGCCATTGGTTGTTGGTGGATGACCGGCCTTCAGCTCTTTCTCTGCCATCTAGCTAGAGGGATTGTTTTAATTCTTCAAAGAGAGAGAGGGGGATACTTTGCTTGTTAGCTAAATGGGATTGAGCTTGAAGAGGATGTGATGGTGGTGATGATGGTGATTGAGAGCATGGTAATGAGCTATATATATAACACTACAAGAAAAGTGGGCTTAAAAGACGGAAGCATTTGTGACGGCACACTTGTCGTCTCAAAAGGTGAATTTTTGAGACGGCACAACTTGCCGTCGCAAAAAAATGAGTTATTCAGACGGCACAACTTACCGTCGTGAAAAACATGAGTTTTTACGACGGCACTATTTACTGTTGCAGAAAAATAGAGTATTTGCGATGGCAGAAAATGCTATCACGAAAAAAGAGAGCATTTGCAATGGCAGAAATTACTATTGCAAAAAAGGAGAGTATTTGCGACGGTAGAGATTGCCGTCACAAAAAAATAGAGTTTTTGCGACGGCACCAACTGTTATTGCAAAAAAAAAAAAAAAAAAAAAAAAAAGTGAGGTTTTTGCGACTGTAATAGGTACCGTTGCAAAAAAAAAAGTAAAAAAGAAAATATTGTGGCTTTGAGATAGCTTCATAAATGTATAGTCACAAAATGGTTTGAATAAATGCAACGGTATTTTTCTGTTACAAAAAAATTAAAAAAAAATGACGCCGTCTTACTCTTTTGATATAACGTTTCTCTTTTCACCCATTTTTTCATCTTTCTCTGTCTCTTCTCTTTCTCTCTTTCACTCATCACTCTTCTTTCTTTATCTATCTGTGTGTCTGTTTTTGTCTCTCTCTGTCTGTTTGTCTGTCTATCTCTCTCTCTGTCTGTCTTTCGCTCATCTCTCTTCTCTCTATCTCTCTCGCTCATTTCTTTATCTCTATCTCTCTGTCTCTCTCACTAACCTCTCTTCTCTCTCTTCTCGCCCATCTCTCTTCTCTATCTATCTCTATCTTTTTCTATGTCTCTCTCTCGTTCATTTCTTTTCGCTATCTTTATCTCTCTTTTTTTGTCTATCTCTCACTCATCTCTTGTTTCTCTCTATTTTTCTATCTCTCTCTTTCTCTTACTTATCACTCTTCTCTCTCTCTTTCTCTCTCTGTCTATTTGTCTATTTGTCTGTCTGTCTATCTGTCTTGCCCTCATTGTGTTCGCCTTGCTCACTCTCCCACTCCTCCCTTCCCTATTTACCGAGCTCCCTTTCGATTTATTAAGACACTACAAGAAAATGCACTTTTAGCGACCACCTTGTCTCTCTCGCTTATCACTCTGTCTTTGTTTCTGTCTCTCTATCTCTCTTCTCTATCTGTCTCCCTTCTCTATCTGTCTCTCACTCATCTCTCTCATACCACCCATCTCCTCTACCATCTTCACCACTACTGCAAATGCCATTCCACTACTGCAAATGCCATTCCACTACCACCACTACTATCACTGTTGCCACTTCACCTCTACGACTATCATTACTACCACCATCACCACCACTACTATTACCATTATCATTACCTCTCCTCCACTACCACTACTCTATCTCCTCTACCACTACCACAACTTCACCACTAATCTCATTCGCCATCACCACCACCACCAAAACCACTATTATCTCTTATCTACCACTTTCATCACTACTGCCGCTCCCTCTCCTCTACCACAAAAAATTAGTTCCTGATTTTTAGTAACAAAAAAAAAAATAGGTCGCAGAAAAATATTTTTCATTGACCACAAAAAATTAACTTTATTTTAATGGAAAATATTTTTCATTAAAATATTACCCCTACTTTTACCAAATTAAAAAATAATAATAATTTTTTATTCATTAAAATAAAAATGAAACAAATAAATTTTCAACCTTAGTAACTTAAAAAAAATCAAAAATCAAAAATCAAAAATCAAAAAAAAAAATTTCATCAACTACAAAAAAAAAATTTATTTTAACAAATAAATTTTTTAAAAAGAGTCGTTTTGTTGTTTAAATATTCATTTGTGATGGAAACCAAAAAAAAAAAATATTCCCACTCTTTTTGTTGTTTAAATATTCAAATGCGACGGAAACCAAAAAAAAATAATAATATTCCTGCTCGATTTTCCACCCCTCTTTTTTTACCATTCCCGCTCGGGTTCCCTTCCTCCCCAATCTCTTGAACCAAAATCTCCAATCTCAAAAACCAAAAATCCCCTTCAACCAAAAATCCCTAATCTCTTCTTACGGTTCTCTCTCTCCGGCATGTGGCAAATGACGGCATCGAGCAGTAGCGACATCGAGCAGCCTTCTCACCTTCCAAGTTCATACAAAACGTCGTGGTTTCATCTGAGTATGAGCAAGAAGAGGACCTATCGAGTGATGCAGAGGAACCCAGTTTCTCTCATGCTCTCAAACTCTTTGTTGGAAACTTACCTTTCAATGTCGACAGTGCTACTCTTGCTGGGTTGTTCGAATGAGCTGGAAATGTGGAGATGGTTGAGGTATGAATTTACATTTTCGTCTATCTATGAAATATATATATATGGGTTTAGGGTTTAGTGAGATTTTAATTTTCTAGATAATGTTTTGTTTGATGTAAAATTTATGTTATTTGGTGTGAATGGTTATTTTCATTTTCATATTTATTTATTTATTCTTGTGAACTTTTGTTAATTTTCAAGTTTTGCTTGTGAAAATTCTTTGACTGAAATATGAATTTCTGTGGGCTTCAGAATTGAGCTCAAATTTTATTCTTTGGGTTTGGTCTGTTACAAATCTATGAAATAGATATGGGTTTTTATTTTTTTATATAATTGTAAGAAGGTTTACAGAGATTTTAGTTTTGTAGATAATGTTTTGTTTGATGCAAAATTCAAGTTATTTGGTGTGAAGGTTTTTTTTTTGGCCCCTTGTGAACTTCGATTCTTTTTCTAGTTTTGCTAGTTAAAATTCTGAAGATGAAATAAGAATTTCTGTGGGGTTCAGAGAATTGAGTTAAAATATTTTGTTCTTTGGGTTTTAATGTTGCAATGATTTTTGTGGGGAAAACAAAGAAAGGTAAAGAGAGATTCTTATGCGCAAATTTGAGCTGCTTTGGCAGGTTATATATGACGAGATAAGTGGAAAAAGCTGAGGGTTTGGCTTCGTGACGAGGAGGTTGCCTTTTTGTCCTTTGAAATTTTTTAAAATAATCTTTAGCATGATGTTCACATTTTGATTTGAGTTTAATTTGATTTGATTGTAGAAGTAAGCAAAGCAGGGCCTCTGGTTGAGTATGAGTGTAGAATTGCTTCAAGTGATCTTGTGGATGGGGATAGTAGTCAGGTAATATTGCAATCAATTCACTCTTCATGTTTGATTATAAGTTTCAAAGGAAAAGCTAGTAGTTTGTATGTCTCTCCCGAATTTTCTCCAACCTAGAAGGTTAGGTTTCTCATATTCGATCGGAATTTTAGGTGAAGTAGCTGTGTATCAATTAGTTATCATAAGCGTACCACTACCTTTTGGTGTACCATTCTGGATTTATAATTTTGTTGATGTGTAGTTATGAATGCAAGAATATTTTTATTATAGAGAAATTATTTTTTTTATATAGGAATTTTTATATTATTATGCAATTATTGGTTTCTTTTTCAATTTTTTTTTCATTTAATATAGGTAACTTTAATATTTTTAATAATTTTATTGTAGGTTTCTTTTTTCTTTTTCTTTTTTTTTTGGCGACAAAAACAGTTGATTTTAATATTTTTAATAATTATACTACATTTTTTTTTTCAACAACACCATACCGTCACAAAAAATATTAGAACCATTGGCGACAGTGGGCATGTCGTTGCAAAAAAACAAAACCATTTGTGACAACATTTTTTGCCGTCTTAAATAAAACTTTTAGTGACGGTAAAATGGTGCCGTAGCAAAAGGTCTGACTTTTTTACATATTATATGCGACAGTAATCTCTATCTATTGTGGGTGTTTTTTTGAATTTAATTAGGATTGTGTGTGCAACCCGTAGTGAGCATATATTGGGCCTATTTTGACCCGGTTTGGTATTACTCAAATCTCCTATATGAGGGTTATTTTTGGGGTTTTAGTGAGATCCGGCTCATTGTATTCACTACTTTAAAATTAGTATTATCTTTGTGGGCTTTGTGTTTGTTCTGATTCCCCATCGCAACACTATTTTTCCACCTAGTGTGTCATTCACAGCATAACAAGCATGTGTTCAAAAAAAACTTCTATGGAAGTACAATAAAGGTAAAATTTGTTCTTTTGCAAGACATTGTTCTTTGTATATGTGGTTATATCATATATATAACACATACTTTTGTATGAAATTTAAGTCATGTTTACGCGAATTGGTTTTTTGTTATTTTGTTATTACTGCAGAATGAGATACACATTGTTGTAAAGCAGAAGCTGCTTGGAGAGCCAGTTGGTGAAACACTGCTGGGAAAAAAAGTGAGTTTCAATTATCTTGGTTTTTCTACCACAAATTTTCCTACAAATGCATTTGTGCATTTTGTATTTTCTTTTCTTATTTTCTTTTCATTGTTTTATCTTTTTAATATCCTAAAATAACTTTTGCTGCAGTGTTGGTCATTTTGGCATATAACCCTTCTATTTTTTTAATATCCTAGAATAACCTCATGTTGAACAAATGCTTCAAATAAATGATTTAGAGTTGCTTGCTACCACATCTAGATGGTTCTAAATATGATCATGATTATTATTTGCTTGCTACTATATCTAGAGTTGCATGTGTGCATGCTTTGATGTAGTTT